GGCACGGCCCAGGCTGCCACTCGGGTGAGAGGCCAGGCACCTGCCACCAGCTCCCCAGCTCGGCTGCCCATGCCATCTGAAGCCAGCCAAGCCCCGGGCCCAGGTGGACCCTGGAGGGGTGCCCTTGAGGAAGCTGCTGGGCCCGCGGGCCTTCGCCTACTCACCTTCATGAACTGCTCCATGGACTTGGAGGCCAGGGAGTTAGAACGGAAGAGGGTGTTGGGGTCGGCTGGGAGGGCAGAAGGAAGTGTTTTCTGGGGTTGGGGGGAGTGGCCCACCTCACCGCACCTGCCCACCCAAGGTGGAGGTCAGATTGCTCCAGCCTCAGGCACTGAGGAGACCCGCAACATCAGCTCCGTTCACAGTCCCCAGGCCCAGGGTGGTTAAGCAATCTGCCTACGGTCACACAGCTCAAGAGTAACAAAACCAGCTGGCTCCACACATGCGTGCGTGCGCACACACACACACACACACACACATGCATACATGCCCCTGTCCCTGCTTGAGCCCCCCTCTCAGCCCCCCACCAGAGACCCTCTGCAGACTCATCCTTGGGGGAGTGCGGTCCGGGGGTCCTGTGGGCAACTCACTGGTCCGCGCCAACTCCCGCCGGGTGAGATAGTCCAGAAAGGGCCCAGCCAGACCCTGGCCAAGGAACAGCTTCGCCAGCTTGGTGGCAAGGTCCTGGCGGCAGTCCCCCGAGGTCAGCTCCTCCAGCACGGCCAGGGGGCTGGAGACGTCCTCCTGGAAGGACAGGCGGCAGGCGAGCTGGCCGGGGCCCTGGGACTCCGGGGCAGCTCAGACAGATTTCCCCGAAGCGGGGCGGCCAGGGCCGGTAGCACCGTGAGGGCAGCACGCGGTCCTCCAGGAGGCGCACCTTCAGCCGCAGGGCACCCAGGCTCCCCCTGACCGGGCCAGAGCACACATATGTACGGATGGAAGGATGTATGGGCCGGCACCGAGATGGGCAGGTGAGAGCACAGGTAAGGAGCATGGATATTTGCAAAACAAGGTGAGGGTGGGTAGCGGTGAACAGGCGTGGCCAAGTCTAACTGGGTGTGAACGGATGTTGACAGGTCTGAACAGGCCTTGACAAGCACAGACAGGGTGCACACTGTGGCTGGCATAAGCACGTGTGTGGGAATGGGCAGTGTGAACAGGTGTGGACAGGCGTGGAAGGACCCAGGGTTCTGATCACACATCAACAGGTGTGAACGGACATGTTCGCAGGTGGGTGGGCTAAAGGTGAACCCATCTGGACATGTGTAAACACAACTGGGAGACGTCCACAGACATCTGTTCGATGAGCGAACAGTGTGCCATGGTGATGGTCAGTGGGCTGAGGAGGATGCCCATGAGGACCCGCCACGAGCTGAAGATGGTACCCAACATGGGTCCAGCCTGGTCTCCTCCCTCGGCCCCACACTTACCCAGAATCCTCCTCAGCTCTGGGAAAGGGCAGGAGACGGAACCAGCCGTTGGGTGGGTTCTGCTGCAGGACCTTCGGGGGGAACTCCACCTGTGCGGGGACACGGAGCTTCAGCGGAGCCCTGCCCAGCCCCGCCCAGCCCTGGAAGAAGCGCTCAGACTGCCCCCCCAAGGCGGGGTGGCACAGCCAGCCAGGGGCCATGTCCTCCTCCCCCTCTGTGTCCCATCGACACGACAGCAGTGACACTCCCTCCCCCAGTCCTAAATGGTGAGCCCTGCCAGGGCACTGAGGCCTCCAGGGACAGTTATTTGAGGAAACTGAGGCTCAGAGAGGTGGAGTGACTTGCCTAGGGTCACACAGCTGCTGGAGACAGCATGTCAGACTGGGTGTGTCTTCAGCTCTGTTCAGGGACACCATTGCACTATCACAAAGCTTAAAGACAGCCCGGAAGGCGCCCGAGCCCCACCCCCTCTTTTAAATAACTTTATGGAGATAAAATTGTGTCCCCTACAATTCACCTCTTTAAAGTGTCTCACTCAATGGCTTTCAGTATAGTCAGACTGTGCTAACATCACTACTAACTTCAGAACATTTCCTATGAGCCCCCCAAGAGCCTGTACCCATTAACAGTCACTCCCCTGCCCCTGACAACCACGAGTCTATTTTGTCTTCATAGATATATTCATCAATTCTAAACATTTCCTATAAATGAAATCACATCACGTGTGGGGTTTTTTTAGACTGGCTTCTTTCATTTAGCATGTTTGGAAGATTCACCCATGTTGTAGCATCTGTTGGTACTTTGTGCCTTTTAATATATATATATATAATTAATTTCAGAGAGGAAGGGAGAGGGATTGAGAGATAGAAATATCATTGATGAGAGAGAATCATTGATGGGCTGCCTCCTGCACGCCCCCTACTGGGGATGGAGCCTGTAACCCAGAGCTGCCACTGAGCCACACCAGCCGGGCAGTACTTTAGTCCTTTATGGCTGAATGATATTCCATTGTATGGCTATAGCCCCTTTGTTTATTTATTTGGCTGTTGATAGATATTTGGGCTGCTTCCGCTTTGGCTATTATGAACACTGCTGCTGTGGACATGTGTATATTTTCATTTCTTGGGTACAGTCCTAGGAGTGGAATTGCTGGGTCACGTGGTAACTCTATTTCCAACCATTTCAGGCACCGCCAGCACTGCATGACCAAGCCTCCCTCTTATTTGCTCTAATCTTGTCTCCTTTTAAAAACTACCAGCCCTGATATACCTGCACTGCTACCCAGAGGCAGGAACAATCCACCCATTGTACAGATGGGGAAACTGAGGTTCCAAGAGAAAGACCTTGACCCCAGTGCTTCCAGGAAGAGGAGGTAAATAAAGGCTTAGATTCTGGAGTAAGAGAGACCTGCACTCAGATCCCGGCTCTACTATTTCCTAGTCATGTGACCGCAGGAAAGCCACTTAGCCACGCTGGGTTTCCCCACCCCAGCCTTTTAGGGAGGCCTGGAGGGTACATGAGGTTATGCTGGAGCAGCGCTCAGCACAGGCCAGCACATGGTCATGCAGGTACTCTCGTTGTAGAATTAGGAGAGGGGCCCACCCGTGCCTTGGCAGTTTCCTGCACCTTTGAGAGCCTACCTCTCCCCAAATGCACAATGGGGCAATAGGACTCATTTCCCTGGACCTGGTGAGCAGCCTTCACATCTACCCTCTGAGCCCCAGGGTACCAGCCCATCTCCCCCACCTTCCCCTTGGGGGCGGTGGGGAGCCATGGAGCGTGTTGGAGGGGACGCTCACCATGCCCAAGAAGTCGTTCTTGCCCACCATGTCCCAGTCCCAGAGCTCCACCCGCAGTGGGGAGGGGGCGCCCGGCATCTCCCGCAGCTCCAGCACCTCATCCCAGTGTGGGAAGCGAGTCTTCTTGATGGTCTGCGGGAGGAGGGGGGTGAAGAGAGAGCTGACTGGGACCC